CGGTTATACAGCAGGTATTGCCCCAACACAGAGTACACACACACACACACACACACACACACACACACACACACACACACACACACACGAACAAATAAAAACGTCTGGCTTTAATATTTCTAAATGAGCCAGAAATAGGTGAATGCAGTTCGATAAACAAATCTCCTGTGTGTTTAGGTCCTGGCTCCTCTGCAGGGAGGTCTGCCCCAACAGACAGGAGTCATCATCCAGCCTCAGCAGATCGTTTTAGCTTCAGGAAACAAAGTCCAAGGCAACACACAGGTCAGAGCTCCATCCCTCCAGAGGGGAATTCTTTTGGTTTTCTGGAAATGAGTTTTATTCTCTTCAGATTCTTATGGGACTGAAAGCCCCCCGTCTGTAGTGCTTCATCAGTGTCATGTTGACTCTGCACCAGGTGATGCAGGCAGCAGCCATGGTGCAGCAGGCAGGTCAGGCTGCAGGAGCGGCTGCAGCCGCAGGAGGAGCAGCTCAGGTCCAGCAGGTCCAGCAGATCCAACAGGTCCAGCAGGTCCAGGGTGCAGCTGCACCGCAGGCCCCCCCACAGCCTCAGGCCCAGCAGCAGCCACAAGCACAGCAGCCTCCCATGATGCTCCAGGTGGACGGAGCCGGGGACACTTCCTCGGATGAGGACGAGGATGAAGAGGAGGAGTACGATGAAGATGACGACGAGGAGAAAGACAAGGATGGTGGGGAGGACGGACAGGTCGAAGAGGTGAGCCAGTCTGCAGTACTGCTTGTGTTTGTAGTTTTACACAGTAATTCACCAGGTTTTTATTTACACCTGAGACAACAAAACTCGGGCTCGACAAGACTGGAGCTCGACAAGACTGGGGCTCAGCAAGACTGGGGCTCGGCAAGACTGGGGCTCGGCAAGACTGGGGCTCGGCAAGACTGGGGCTCGGCAAGACTGGGGCTCGGCAAGACTCTGGCTCGACAAGACTCTGGCTCGACAAGACTCTGGCCCTACAAAACTCTGGCTCGACAAGACTCTGGCACGACAAGACGCAGGCTCGACAAAACTCAGGTTTGACAGGTTCGACAAAACTCTGGATCGGCAAGACTCTGGCTCGGCAAGACCTGGACTCGACAAGACCCGGACTTGACAAGACTCGGGCTCGGCAAGACCCGGACTCGACAAAACTCGGGCTCGACAAGACTCGGGCTCGACAGGTTCGACAAAACTCGGGCTCGACAAGACTCGGGCTCGACAGGTTCGACAAAACTCGGGCTCGACAGGTTCGACAAGACTCGGGCTTGACAGGTTCGACAAGACTCGGGCTCGACAGGTTCGACAAGACTCGGGCTCGGCAAGACTGACTCGGGCT